ATACTACTGTGTCCAAAAAGTAAGACCAGTTTTTATTTATTTCAAAAAATATTTATTTATTCTTCCAAATCTATTTCGTCGCCTTCAAAGTAATCCCCTCCCGACACAATACACTTATGCCAACGTATTTTCCACTCCTCGAAACAAGAATTAAAGTCGCCTTCCGGGATGGCTTTCAGAGGGCGTAGCGATTCACGTTGTATCTCTTCTATCGTCTCAAAACGATTTCCCCGCAGAGGTTTTGAGTTTCGGAAATAGCCAGAAGTCACACGGTGCTAAATCAGGCGAATATGGTGGTTGTGGAACGATATGGATCGAATTTTTGGCGAAAATGTCACGAAGAACGAGTGCAGTGTGAGAAGGTGCATTTGGCACTAGTCGAGATTTTACACGTTTCAGGCCCAAAATATCTTTCAAAATGGTATTGGCAGATCCTTTCGAAATACCAACAGTATCAGCAAGGTCTCTAACAGTCATTCGACGATTAGCAAGCACAAGTTCTTCGATTTTCTTGACGTGTTGTTCATCGGTAGAGGTTGATGGCCGTCCGGAACGCTCTTCGTCTTCAACACTTTCACGACCTTCTTTGAACTGTTTATACCACTTGTAAACATGCCTTTCCGATAAAGCATGATCCCCGTAGGCTTTTTGCAACATTTTGAACGTTTCTGCGCCTGAAATTTCATTCCGCAAACAAAATTTAATGCAACTTCTTTGCTCAATATAATTAGACATTGTAAAAATCGCCGAATGCACTTTTAGCGTCGTACAAAACCAAGCGTAAAGCAAAAAGTAATAAATGTCTTGACATGAAATTTATCACAGATGTCTGTCACAATGTTGCCAACTTAGAAAAAAAAATATTTATGATTTGCGGTTTATCCGCGCGATTTAAATTGAAAACTGGTTTTACTTTTTGGACACAGTAGTATATATATATATATATATATATATATATATATATATATATATCACCAAAAATAACTATTAAATACTACATATAAACTATATCTCTATATGTACATATTAACAAGTAAAAGAAATATCACAAAAAGAAAATAGTAGCAGAATAGATATCTCGTTACAATGGACGTCTAAACTGTTCTGTTTTATCTACATCTTAGCAAAAAGTAATAGCATTTTTTTTAACAAATTGTGCTTTTTTAAAGCTTTTAAGCATATTTTTGAAGATTGGATGTTATTTTTTAGAATATTTTATAGTGCGCAGATATTTTTTTTTGTTTTCATATGCACGGCAGAAATTTTTTATAACCTACGAATTGTGCTAGCGAACAATTAACTTAAACATTTTTTTTCGTTTTTGATGAAAAGATTATGTCTGCGCAGTGTGTTTCAATGAGTACTTTAAACGTGCAAAAACGCTTTTTGATTAGTTAAATCTGTACGACGTAAAAGCTAAAACAGTTTTATAGACACTCCGAAGTCTTCTTAATTTATGTAGCGTCGCAAAATTATATAGATGATTGTTAAATCATCCAAATATAATAAGAACAAGCGCACACATCGCGAGCGGGCGAGCATTGTGTGTGTGTGTAGCAGGCATCTTCCTAGCTTATAAATTCGATGTTTATATTTATATATATATATATATATATATATATATATATATGTCCTGAATAACATGCAAAAAGTTAT